CTCATCATGGGAGGCAGAACTACAGCGAGCACTATGTATAGCAGCTGTCTCTTATACACATCTAGATGTGTATAAGAGACAGCTCCGACATAACTAGTTTGCAACACACACACACACACACACACACACACACACACAGAGAGAGAGAGAGAGAGAGAGAGAGAGAGAGAGAGAGAGAGAGAGAGAGGCTGAAGGGAAATGTCTTTAAGTGCTGACAGTCAGGACATGACTCGTACATAGTTCTTGTTCACTCATTCATTTGTTATTGTACTCAACTGATCAGTGGACAAGGAGAAGGTTGGAGAAGTTGGGAGAGAAGAGAGATTCTGCGGGGGGGATGACATTAGTTCACAACTTCCCACGTGTATTTACTATTTGACCATTCTTTCTTCTTCTTCTTCTTCTATTCCACTGCTTCGTTCCACTTCTATTTAATATCAGCAAGTCTTGCATTGCCTTAAAGTTAAGTTTTGCATTATGAATGAGGTAAGCAGGTGCTGCTCCCCACCAATATAGATGGAGCCCTCCCCAGGTGCTAGCGGTGTCTGCTCTTACGAGCACCACTAGCACCGACGGGTGCGTTAAAAAAAAAAAAAAAAAAAAAAAAAAAAGATGATGACACCATACTGAAAAGTAACCTGTTCGCCTGTGATAGTAAGTTCTAATGTTATTCACAGTCCAGTTCCTTCTGCCATCGCTCTGCAGACCCGATAAATTGATGAATGCGAAGGCAGAAAACAGGTGAGCGTAGAAACGGAGCAGGATGGTGTGGACATACACACGGACACGGAAATTCATTCAGGCATGCAGTTCTGTTCGGCAGCTCAGAGCTATCGTTGCCTGCACATGAAGACCACGGACAGCACGTTGACATCCAAGACCACCATGGTGCACTTCTCTTCTTTTCAGAAACCGAGGTGCCGCCATGGCGCAGTTCTCTTCTTTGCAGAAACCGAGGTGCCGCCATGGTGCAGTTCTCATCTTCTCAGAAATCGAGGTGAAGTGCCGCCATGGTGCAGTTCTCGTCTTCGCAGAAATCGAGGTGCGCCTTATCCACCAATTTACTGGTCTATCTTCTAAGTCGCAAAGTCTATCAATAACGAAGCATGCACAGTGGATTCACTCAACTGTGGTAATAATGTCCTTAAAGTTTAAACTATATGGATTGCATAAAAAAGGGAAGGGTCAGTCTTTTTTTTTTTGGGGGGGGGGGGGGGGGGGGCTATGGCTGCAAAGGCTCCAGATTCTCTGATAATTGGTTAAGGATGGGGGTGGCTGTCCGCTTGAGGCTATAGCAAATGATTGAAGGCTACACCGTTGTAGGGTAGGTAGGGGAACAACCGGAACTGCCATCGGAGGTGTGAAAAATATGATTCCCGTACACAAATGGAGATGTTATCTGGCCGAGATGACGGAGGACCCAAATCATTGATCGAACCATGAGTGCAACAGTGATAATGATGAGTGAAATGGCGATGAGGATGTGGCAGTGGAGGAGGAGGAGGGTGCCACAAGAGAGGAAGATACAGAAGGAGGGAAGGAAGGTACAGATGAGAGCAGCAGTCGTGGACACGAAGAAAAATCAACAGGGAAAAGCCCACACAGGTGGATTGCGTGTGGCTCTTTCTGTGAGTTTGCGGGAATACTGCGGTTGTTGTGCATGCCATCCAGCAGTACAGTCTGCTGCTTCGATGGCAAGGCGGCCCATCTGCTCATCGCCTTGGCGATCATCCCAGTTGCCTCGCCATAGCGTGCGCATCATCAGTGGTAGCAGCCCACTTTTCTATGTTTGAAATTTGAACAGCAGCTCACGTGGCAGGAACTGCAGTACGGACGTGGAGACGATGGGTACCCCAAAAAATGTTCAGACCTGAAGCGTCATGCTCTAACTTGCATGGGCCATCCTTTGGCCAAGCCACTGGGGCAAGGGCCTCTGGCAAGCATACGCCACGTCAGAGAGGCAGTATTATTGCAGAGATTCTTAAAGTGAGTCACGTCAGCTCTGGCAAGCATATGCCACGTCGGCTCCTGTGTGAAAGCAGCAACCGACCAGTGAGGTGTCGTACTGGAAGCGGCTCCGGCAGATCGTACGACTGAAAACGTCCAAGCGTGAAAGCAGCAACCGACCAGTGAGGTGTCGTACTGGAAGCAGCTCCGGCAGATCGTACGACAGAAAACGTCCAAGCCTCAACCTGATCAAATAAGCCGATGCAGAGCGAGCCATCCAGCTGGAAAGAGATTTCTGCCCTAAATAGAGACGTGAACCATCACGGTCTGTAACCTCCTTCACTCAAGGCAGTATCGGGCAGGAGGTGGTAGCAGGCTATTGCAGGACAGGACGTTATCAATGAACCGGTGAGTAAAAGCATGGCCCTGTGCTATGGAAAGGTTATGCTTTCAAAGTTCATCAAGAAACTGCACCTCACCCCAATCAGGAGGTTTGCGATTTCCCCGCCCCCGATAGGTAATGGCAAAGAGTGCCAGTCTGTCAGACCTTTACAAAGGAGCACATTCTCCCATGACGAGGATCTTCGCGCGTAATGTATCATCGTGTTAGTGTGTCGTTTCGATTCCGCACCTTGCTATCGTGTTATGTGGCAGGTTAAGTGTACATTGTAGTGAAGCCCGCCATGCCATCAGCAGCAGCATACAGGTGAGTGTTGGAGATAAAAAAAAACTGTCGATGCTGCCCTCCATCTGACATGGAAAGTCTGTCACAGTTTTGCACAGTAATGAGCAGGGGTGCAAGTCTTCTGGAGTTTGCTGCAGGGCATAACTTTTTTTTTAATAGAAGTTCTTTTCTCAATGTAGGGCATAGGAACCACACTAAAAAAAAAAAAAAAAAAAAAGAGCAGTGCCAGACGGTCACTGAATATCAACCCAATCCACCACAAATTAGAGGAAGGAAGAAGGTAAAGAGCCGAGTTCGACAGGCAGCTGTGTACTGACTGACTTTAGCAATATCACCAGCTACAGTCCATTCGGTACGAGAGAACCAAACAGCCAGACAGAGCCCCATGCGCCGCATGCGACAATAGGAACTGTCTGTGCAGGGTCATTTTCAAACACTGCCATTGTAAGGCCATCCCAGCTTGGTTTCAAGTGAGGAGCATCCAAAAGATTCCAAACAGATATATTCCGGGCGACATCAGGAGTGTCTGTGCACAGTGCACAATCATTAGAAGTTGAAGCAAAGATGAAAGCACCTGAAAGCCAACGTGATCAAGATTTTTGATGTTTCTGACAAGTTTTGATATTCCAGATATGTTTCGGATCTTTTCATGTTTCCGACGATATTTCTCAGAAGCATCCAGTTGTGTGAGGAATTGAAACTCGCCGTTCATGATCACGTCGCCGTTCATGTGCTGTCATCCTTTGCTTGAAGTTGCTTCAACTCCATGCTGATCACCCAAACATTATGCAGGCAGAATGTCAGAGTCCCAACTCCACAAACACCAAAAAGAGGCGCATGCAACCTCCTTCAAGTTTGTACGGACCTGTTGGCATCCCCATCGACATCGCGGCAGTCAGAGTTTTCCAGTCTCACTCTTTCGACCTGCCATGGCATGCCGGTCACATCAGGTGAGGACTGTAGCTTTGGCATTCTTGGGAGTTAAATTCCCAAACTCGGTAAATGCTTCAGCTCTACATCAGGTAAGGCCCCAGTCAGCCTGAGTCATCTGCTCATGCTGATTATGCCCTGACCTTCGTACACGTCATCTGTCACTATGACAGATCAAATTAGCAGACGCGAAGCGTCTGCTCTGGTGAGCGGGGAGTGAACTAAGTGAAATTGTCCGGACCGTCGCCACCCTGCCTGCCGGTTTGTCACCGGGGCTTCTGTAAAGACTGCATTGAGCCTTGTCATTTAGAGGAAGGAGAAGTCGTAACAACGCTCCTGCGGGAAGATATGCAGAGAGGATCATCACCATCATGTGGGGCTATGCAGAAAGTCTACATCATAAAGGGGAATACGATTTAAATTGCCGAGTACGATTTAAAACTTATAACAGACTACGGAGTTTGAAATTCGAATGTTGCAGAGTTCCTACATTTCTTTTTGAGACTGAGGTGACTGAATCTCATCAGAGGAGAGAGGAGTTGAGTATGGGCAGCCAGCCTGAAGTTTAACGATCGTCTTCAGCTTCACTAGAAAGAAAGCTGGAGTCACTCGGTGGTTCCTCGGCAACTAATATATCTCAAGCAAGTCTGTACTTTTATTAGCCTCGCACCTCCATGCACGCACGGATTTGAACCGGTGCCCTCAGCCTCAAGAGCCGAGTTTCTTAACCACTACAGCCATGCCAAGCTGTACGAAAGTGGATCCATGCCAGTCGTGATATCCACCCCACCACTGCATGGCTGTAGTGTCCTTCAAAACACACACACACGCACACACACACACACACACACACACACACACACACACACACACAGGCATCTGCCACACAGGCGATTCTCGCTCACTCCGCTCCCTTCCAGCACAAGTGCTTTTCCATGCTAGTTACTTGGCTAGAGTACAGTCTGTACTTTAATCAGCCTCGGACCTCGTGTGCGTGCACACACAGATTCAAACCGGCACCCTCAGCCTCAAGAGCCGAGTAAGGTTTAGAAAGTGAGAAAGCCTCCATGTTTCAAGCTTTTTCGTTTTTTTTTTTTTTTGGTTACGATTGGGTAGGGGCCATGCTAATCTTCTTTGCATCTTTCCAATTTTAATGGCTGTCTGGAGGATTCTATCTTTCGCATATCGAAGCCTGCGTGGAACAAAAACATTGATCATTGATTTAAACTTGAAGCAACCCCCATTCCAGTCTCGATAGTGTAAGTTGCAGCTCGTAATAGCTACCGCTAACAAGCCTCTGCATGATCTCTATCTCCTCCACATTATATCTAAGCACTTATAACTCTAACTCCTTCTGAAGGACAGTTTGCTATACTGCTAGGTATAAGGTACAGCATACAGTATCCTCGAGTACAGCATAGGGTACAGTGCGAGTTTCAGATGCCGTACCATTCGGTACGCAGTCCCTTGAGTACTCTTCGGTACTCAGTCCCTTGAGTACAGCAGCATAGGGTACACCACAAGCTTCAGGAACACTATGACATACAATTTGGTACACATTCTACTGTCCCCATTAGAGGTGCAGAAGAACACAGCTCTCACCCAAGGCTCCTGGGATGATCATCCAGTTTGCCTGCTGGGTATGAGAACACCTAACCGGCCCAATAGACGTAGAAGAGGGGTTGATGGGCAGCATACTGACTGACTTGACCAATGCAAAACACGTGCGTTTATTTAGGAATTGGCTTAGCTGGCTCTCATCATGATTACAAAAAGCAAAACGGGACACTTGACACAACGAAAAAAGACACAGCTGGAATGATGCCACTAAGTAGGGCTGTCAGGAACAAGGAAGAGGCAACACGATCGACAGGCAGACAGAAAGACAGACAGTGACAAGGACGAAAACACCAACGCAGCCAAAGACTGTGAGGGGGGTGAGGAAGGGGGAAGACTGTGAGGGGGGGGGGGGAAGGGGAAAGGTGAGGGGGAGAGATTCCGCAGGATAGGTAGATAAGTGTGACTCAAAACAAGAGTCAACTATACACGTGCAGAACTCACTTATTGGGAAAAAAAGTCACTCTCCGTACGACTCACTTTTAGAAAAAAAGAACCACTACGTTTCTCTGCTTCTTTACATACGCCGGTGGTCTTACTGTTTTAATTTTCGCTCAAACCCGTTTTCAACTATCTATGAATTCTCAAATGTCTCCATTTTCAAAGCTCCTATGCTTTCCAACTCCTTGCCCTGGTTGTCAGTATACATGTTTCCGAAGTCCATTCTCAAATGACTCCACTGACCGGAAAAACCATTGCCACCACCAGGCATGCCTGCCTTACACGCCTGGCGGAAGCCCATGTTACATCCAGCCTCTGCCAGAGATTGCCAGAGTGTTTGTTGCCGCATGCTGGCGAACGAATCACAGGCAACCACAGTGATAGGCTGAATGATCGTTGCTCGTCTGCCACGAAGCCAGCTTGTCACTCTGCTAGCACCAGGTGTACTGACGTACACCTGGCAACAGCAGGCAGTACTCGACACCATTGATCTGCAAACCGCAGTGCTCTGGCCGCATCGCTCACTAGCTGGCAGGGCTTGATTAATGGCCTGTCAATCAGAAAAGCATATGCCTTCAAATTCGCATATCGACTAAGGATGCCCATGGCAGAAGAGGCCGGCCAAAAATTCGACAGAAGCTTCAGAAAGTCTCTGTGAAAGATGGCCCTCAGACTGCGGCAAATGGTTGCTTTTGCACTGTCTGACTACAGTTCAAGTGACTGACCTGTTCGCCTGTGATAGTAAGTTCTAAGGTTACTTTTCAGATCGTCAATACAGTAACAAAGTGCTGTTATGGATTTGCAAAAGCCTTTGGTTGGTAGGCGCCATCCAAATGCGCCAAACATGCTTAGCGAACGCGAGTGTGTACCCCAAGAACACGGTGTGCCAAAAATATGAGCAGTACAGCAGCAGCGTGCGTGTTTTGTCCCAGTGAACGCGTAATCTGTTAACAGCGGCGGCTTGTTTATGGTGCATGCTTCCGCAAATGATATCCACAGCAGTAGACAGCCTGATCTGGACCGACAGCAGCATTTCAACAGACATGCGACGATTTACTGCACCGGTAAGACGCACTTGCTCTCTACCCTCTCTCATCGACACGCTCCTCGTGCTACATCCTGGGACATGTACTGAGGCAATCCCACTGCATCTCGGAAAACCTGCCATAACCCGCACGTACATACACCCTTCTAAAAAGCTTTGCCAGGACTCCACCACCTCCCAAGAATTCCACTCTAACAGTGTGCAGTGGTCCCTGCAGGCCTTCACCGATTGCACCACATTTATTAGCCAGTGCTTCATCTTCGGCAAGGACTGAACAGACAATTTGCTCGACCCAATGGCTGGTGATCGGAACAGCTTGACATTAGTATAGTTCTCAAAATAGCTATCCAGTTTTACAATAGCCGAAGCCACCTCTCTCTGCATCTCTCGCCAGCTCTTTTTCCACAGACCTGAGAGAGGATAGCCGTGTAATGCTCACGAAGGGATTCCTGCACGCAAAAGGCAGGACTTACCTCAACTACACATGTCTCTCTCTCTCTCTCTCCCCTTCCCTTCCCCATGTAGATACATAAACATATATACATAATACATGTGTATTTCTAACTTTCTATCCATTTACCAATCTCTATCTACCTCTCGATCTATCCGCCCAGGGATATTTCTCTTCCATGTCCTTGCCTTTCCCCTCCCTCGCTTCCTTCCTCTCGGAAGCACGTCCGATAATATGATGCGTCTGACAGAAAAAAGGGTTCTTCTCCGACAAGTCCACACACAGCACAACAGTGACGTGAGAGTTTTCCACAGCAAAAATGCCACTTTGAGGTGACTCTCTCTCTCTCTCTCTCTCTCTCTCTCTCTCTCCACCCGGACAGGTTTTATATGCATGTGCACACATGAACCTCCTGTTTTCCACCACATGGAGGATAACCCTACAATAAATTTGCAGGGGTGTTCCCACATGTAAAAAATTGCCCAAGCAGGTGTAGTTCAAAAAATGACAGTGGAACACCCGTCACAATCTCTGTACAGCTGTGGCTACTTCTCAATCATCTGTCCGAACGCTACCACTCGACCATCTGGTCTAAACGCTACCTCTCCACCATGTGTCCACATATCATCTGCTCATTTTACTGAATATATCACACTACTACAACACATCGACCCACACCAATCAGATTGACCTCAGCAGAGAACAATCAATGCGTGTTTCACATAGCCAACTGTCTGATGGCTACAGCAATCCCCTGAACCGCATATGGCCAGCCACATGGAGAAGTAATGGCATACAGAGGATAGAGTCTGCTCAACCACAAGAAAGCAGAAGAAAGCTCAAGAGACTCGAAAAAGGACAAACGAGAAAAACCTTACAAGAACACGAGTGACGGCTTGTCCAAACGAATATGGATCGTGTAATGCGAACAAACAGTGATGGAGAGAGGAACTGATAAGGACATCACCCTCTTCCCAAGAGCTGTTGCATCGCTCGTGGACGGCTGCTACAGTTCTTTTCCGACGAAAGAATCAGAGTTCTGGACAAGAAAAGCGCGATTCTCCAAGCTGAGCTCATCAAGACTACCTCAAGCATCTCTTGCTGCTACATGACCAGTGGCAACAAATAGAAAAGACCATGCCCAACCCAGTCCACAAAATCGAGTCAAGCAATCCTTCCAACACGTGAGGCCTGCATGATCATATAGTTTCAGCATCAGACCTTGCCTTAGTACGCGCCTGGCCTCAGACCAGAGATCACTATCTATTAAGCCCAAGAACCTTATCAGCAACCCCGTGATTGTCCATTCACTTACCAGTGTACTATTGTCACAATTTTTCACACAAAGGTCCAAAACCTTTAAAAGTTTAAACCCATTCGCAAATCAAAACTAGAAACACAGAATGCTTGGCTCGGCAACGTCTGCTCTCACCTGTCATCATGCAGGCAAGCTGGAAAGGTTGCCTGCTAGTATGATCCAACAACATGATCCGCCACTTCACTGTGTTGAAAAGCTATCAGATATATCCAGCAGTTTAAGAATCATTACTCGCTGCAAGCTTCTCGCCGTCTACAATCCACTGTGCCCAATCGTCTCACGGAAAACACAACCCACACGTCTTTGCAGTCGGACAAGGTGGATGCGAAGGGTATAGCAAAAGGTGCGGGAGCGGCAGTTCTTCTGTCTTCCGCCTAAACTGCAGGCGGGAAGGGCCTTCCCACGCCCTCTTTTTTCTCCGAGTGATTACCAGGCGTGAAGAAATTGGCAAAGCCCCTTTGCCCACCTCCTCTTGCTACCGGTAAAAGATTCACACATCTAGATCATCGCCATCATGATCTCATATGGAGATCTTTCTGCTCTTTCCTCTCATTCCAGTTTAGGCATCGAACAAGGCTCTGAAACCAATCATCAGTCTGATCGTGCTTATTGACGGTTGGCAACGGGTGCTCGCTCATGCAGATACGGACGGAATCCCCTTTCAAGAGCTGTTGCCGCCTCTTTCCATCAAAGGATGCCCATGCATTGGACCTGGTATCGGTTGGCACCTGCACTCAAGCGATTCGACCACCACCCCAAGGTCACGGGGCAGGTCGGAAGATTCGACAGGGTAGATTGGGGATAGGGAGTTGCAGGAGTCCCACGGGTTTCCCACAGGAAGAGGGGTTTGGGGGGGGGGGGGGGGCGGCGGCGGGGGCAGGGCAGCGAGGAGGGTGGAAAACAGGAAGAGTAAGAGGATAGGAAGATGGGCAAAGGAAAGGAAGGGCAGGGAAGAGTGGGATAGGAAGATGGAGAAGAGAGTCAATGCCACGTAAGCAGCATCTCAAAACAGTAAAAGTGAGAGGCACAGAGAGAGGGAGGAAGTGCAAAACCGACAAAAGAAAACACTGCCAGAGAGTGAAGAGGAAGGCCCAAGACTCCCTTAAAGGTTTTAGTGGACTGTTTAGTGTTCACGTCAAAATCAAGGGTCTGCTCATGTTCAATACACAAACGCTTGGAAGGAAAGGGAGAGCACAAGAGGGCATTTCTCGCCATGAACTGTTTCTCTCCTCCCTACCACAGAGATTACTTCTTTACAAAGTTGGGCCTTGCATTTGCCAAAGCAGGCCATCGAATTCATTTGTTCGTCTCAAACATTACTGCACTAACGGGTTTCAATTTTGTCAATTCTCTACATTGTGCTCATCTGGCCGCCATAGATAAGGACCACACCCAACCCACATAGTACGAAACCCAACCCACAGAGTACGAAACCCAACCCACAGAGTACCACACCCAGCCCACACACTCCCACGCCCAGCTCACACAGTACCACACCCACCCCACATGTTCCGTGCCCAGCCCACATAGTACCACACCTGACCCACATCAAACCGCACCCAGCTCACATATCGCCACACATACTACCACACCGCCTACATAGCACCATGCTCAGCCAACATCGTATTGCACCCGGCCAACATCGCACTCCACACAGCCACATAAAAATGCACCCAGCCCACTAAGTACGACAGCAAGACTACACCCAGCCCTCATAGTACCACAAAAAGCGTTCATTGTATGGCACCCGACAACATAGTATAGCACCCAAGGACAGCTCGCAAAGGGACACTGGACCTGATTCCCAGCAGGAATTGAATACAGCAAAAACACTACTGACCCCAAAGTGGGCCCGCATATGCACCCGAGGTGGACCCATATACGTAGGCCCGATAGTACTGCACCCAGTCCACCAAAGGTGGGACCCGCAGTATTTTACCCAGCCCACCAAAGTGACCCACACACGTAGACCCACAGTATTGCACCCAGCCCACCAAAGGTGGGCCCACACATGTAGCCCCGCAGTATTGCACCCAGCCGACCAACGGTGGGCCCACATATGTAGCCCACAGTATTGCACACAGCCCACATACCACTGTACACAAGGGACAGTGCGGCATGTTCCTAGCAGAAGTTAAAAAACATAAAAAAAAGAGCGAACTACACTGACAATGCGCATGTCAATTTCTTTTTTTTTTTTTCATTTGATTTTTCTCTACTTCACAAGGGACAGTGCCAGCTGGCGGCCTAGGCTGCCTTGAACCCTGGCCAGCACAAAATCTGTTGGCCCCCGATTTCTTTTTCGCGAAATCTAGGCTGTAGACATCCCAGCATCCACGTTCATGATTTCATGAGCGGCATGAGGATCTCCAATCCAGCCCAGGGCAGGGTATGCATTCAAATTTGAATACCCAACCTCCAGCGGGCAGCCGCCTCAGCATTGTTTACATCATCTGTCGCCAATGAAGCCACGCCACTGGCAGGTAAGCTCGTCATCTTCTTCTTCTTCTTGATTATCAACCCTGAAGGACGAATGACAATCAGCACGTACACAGGGCAGGGATGTAATCAGCACGATCGTGATGACTTGTGCTGATTGCATCCCTGGCCTTTGTACGCACCGCCTGTTGCTCATTCCACTCAGTGTGAGTAATCAGCTCGCATTGATGTGTCCCTGCCTTTTGTACACACCGCCCATCACTCGTCTAGGAAGGATGCTCCTGCTGCTGATTGCAGCCCTGCCCTGTGTACACACCACTCCTCGCTCATCATCCCTGCCCTTTGTACACACCGCCCATTGCAGCAGCCAGACGATGACCGGGAGGCAGTGGTGATGACGTGGAGGAGACAGGGATGACAACAGCATGTAGGGAACGGTTGGTTGATGATGACGTGGAGTAACCTTATGAGCTGGATGGGGCAGTGATAATAACGCTAAGAATGAGAGAATAATGGTGATTCTTGCACACAGGATGATGGTGATAATGATGATGTGGTGGCAGAGTGGACGACGTGGAGCACGGGGTTGACGCTGATGGCTTGTAAGATGCATTGTTGATGCTGACAGCTTGTAACTTGTGTTGATAACGCTGACAGCTTGTCAGATGAGTTGATAATAATGACAAGGTGACAAGGATGAGGACGACGACTACCTTCTTCCCCTGAACATAACGCATATGCCTTGTAAACGGATACAACGCATAGGGTGCGTTCTATTCGAATATGATGCATATGTGTTCTATTCGAATAGCCCTAAATTTAGAATACAACGCATATGCGTTCTATTCGATTTTTTTTCAAATTTTCAAACTCGAATACAACGCATATGCATTATGTTCGGGGGAAGAAGGTAGGCGAGCCAAGTATACAAGAGCAGGAATGTAATCAGTCAGGAAATTTGTACTAAGGGCAGGGGTGTAATCAGCACGAGCCCGATGACTCATTCTTACCAGATATTCCTCGTTCAAGTACCGAACAAGGAATGAATGCCTATAAAGTGCGAGTATCATGCTAGCGCTGATTATGTCCCTCCTCCTACTCATATCATGACTTCTATATCTTTCTTTTCTCCTTCTTTGGCATCCTCATCATTGTGTTATTGTACCCTTCTTCAACCCTTCCCCAGCCTCCCCCCCCCACCCTCGTTCTCCCCGGCCATTGAAAATGACATTGATGCATGCATGCAGCAACGCAAGGGTTATGCTGTCTAGCAATCTGATGAAAAAGCGAGAATATGGGCAGAACTGAGAAAATCCAGCAGAGGTGGTGGATCGACACAATGAGGAAGAGACAGAGGGATAAACAGGTAGCAACAAGTATGCACCGCAGATGAGGTAGCTATCTGTGGAAACGGAAAGGAAGAGACTAATTCTACTGGATGATGATGATAACAAGTACCAGAGAGAAGATCTGGGAGCATGATGATGAGGAGGAGGAAGAGGATGACGAAGAAAAAGATGATAAAAATTTGGGAAGAAAGGGTGGGGGAGGGAGGAGCAATAACAAAGAAAGGAAGTGAGGAGTTGCACAAAGGCAATACCGTTGTCAAAGAGGAGGATAGAGCAACACACAAAAGCGAACGAGAGGTGCCCCAAATAGGATGTGGTTGGTCCCGCCCTTTTTCCGTACAATCTCCTTCACACCGATCTCCCCCATCGCTCGTATTTAGCGGTTGCAGCAATATGCAACTCCCGTCGAATTCCACACCCTCATCCTTCTCCTTCACACCAAAATGGAAGGGAAGACCAGCTTCTGACTGCTCAGGCCAAGTGCAGTCCTGGCCTGAAGCCCTTTTTTTTTTTTTTTTTGTATCCTTGCCTCTTTTTTGACCTGCCTGGTTTCCTGGGTGAGTGTCCCCCTTCCCAGCTGGCGTGGGCGTGCCTGCCCGGGCGACTGCCCAGCATATACTTTTCTTTACTTTGTTTTCGGTTATTCGTTGCTGCATCTTGCTCTATTTTATTATGGACACTTTTGCTTTTTAAATTTTTTTTTATAGGAATTATTCAATTATGCTTACATATTAACAATTGCAAAAGGAGGCCTGGAATCCCTCCACATCACAACCCGGTGTACCGGGGCCATGCCCCGGCTTTGGCTTGGCTGGAAACCGGGTCCAGCGTCCCGTTGGGCATAATTCTAAAAAAGAAAAACTGGACGAAGAAATCATCAAATTTCTACCTAGAAAAGAAGGGAAAGCCTAAGCGGGCTGAAAACCGAGTAGTCCTCAGAAGTGTAATGCTAGTTAACAGGCTATCCCTTACTTCCCTAGTTCTCCCCTTAAACCCTAAACCCTGCCCACCCCTGTGTCCTGGATACTACACCTCCGTACACTCAGAGGTTCTGGAAAAGCCTACAATACCGGGAAATTACAGGCACTCCCCAGGGGTGCAGTGCTAGTTATCAATTATCCCATATTCCGCCCTTGAACCCAGAACCCTGCCCCCCCCCCCTGTATCCTAGATGCTACCCCTCCTTAAAATCTGAGGTTTCTCCAGGAAACAGGACGTGTTGGGTTTTCTCTTGTAGGCCCTCTACTTTCTGTAGGAGCGCCCAAGCCCAGTTCTAGGGAAGACAGACAGGGGAGCTCCCGCTGTCCCTCCCGAAACCAATGAAAGACCAGCCGAGCTCCTTCGATAGTGGCTACTCTGCCCTGGGCCAAAATCTTTTTCTGGAATTTTTCAACTAGGTCCTTGGCCCGTTCTGGACTTAGTGATGCCCGTCTTTTGGTCTTCTGCCATTGGGCTCTGATATCCATTTCCATGAGGTTGTTGAGTGTTGCCTTAGCTTCTGCTCTGAGCATTGGAATCTGCTCGATCGCCTGTTGGCATCTCTGTTTCCAGATACTCCATAATGTGTGCTGTCTTAAGATCTGGAAGATGTGCTTTTGGTGGGGCTGCCAAGACTTTGGCACTTCACCTTCCATCAGTAACGTCCTCCTGTCTTGTGGGAAGGAAGCCGGCGTAATGCGCAGCCACAGCATTCGAACCTCTGCCCATAGATATTCCGCTTCGGGGCATTGTAGGAGGCAGTGCACCAGAGTTTCGAGTGTGCCGTCCGTGCACTGGGAGCAGGCTTGGTCCACTACGTCTCTGTGGCGTCTGCTACGCCGGTCGTACAGCCCCATGTTGACTGGGAGTGCCATGTGCAAAATGAGCCACTGCATACTCCTGACCTTACCTAACCCGATGGTGTGTAGCCATGGGCCGTGGCCAAGGCAATTGCTTGACTT